ATGTAGTTACATATACATATACGATCCATGAGTTTGTTGAATGGAAACTAATAAATCGAGTTGCTAAACCGATATACATATATATACATATATAAATATATCTATGTATAATTGAGCATATGAAGCGATCTATCAATTTTTGCAGTACTGATTACAATGAAAATAATATTAATGATGATTTAAAATTATAATACTTATACAAATATTAAATATTACCGCATGAAGTTATAAAAAATTAAAGCTAGCATTAAATTTATCATATAAACATTACACAATAGTTACAACAACAAGAATTGCTCTTTAACATTGAAATCAACAAAAGCAAGCAAATAAAACAAAATTAAATAAAAAAAAAGCAAATGCAAATTTAAATGTTTATTTTCTTTTCTTTTTCGTCTCATATTGTATAAGTTATTTTGCCTAATTGTTTAAACAACTGGAGGATGGGCTAGCAACAGTAAATTCTTTGAAGCCGCATGTAAGAGTTGGGTGGGCAACAGTTGGCTGCTGATAGACTGAATGATACCCTGTGTGCAGCTTGGCTTGCAGCAGATGATGTAATGTCTTGGGATTCGCTTTCTTTCATTATTTGCAATAAATACGGGATGTTAAATCGTTATTTATTGATTTAGAATGGAAATCGAATTATGTTCAGCACAATTTTTATATAAAACGAGATTACCAAAAGTCCGTCAATTCAATTTAACAAATCATATAAAAAATTATTTAATCATTTTTTATATGATTTCCTTGGGCTTAGTCCTTCTTTTCATATAGACATATTTGATTTGATCATGGCATATCCTGCCTATAGTCAAATATAATGTAGCCCGACTTTCCTATCCCACCTTATACACGTGTATTATAATAGATGATAACAAACTTATAATACAAAGGCCGATTAAATATATTACAGATGCTTGGAAATTTCGGGAATGTGTACAAACACAGCTGTAAACACTTGTCTAATAATTACACTTTAGTTAACAAAGTTCAATTGATTGTTCTATGCAGATGCCTATGAAATCTGAGGCTATATAAGCTCGAGATCGCAAGCTTGGATATGTTAGTTCTTAACAAAATGTTGCGATTTGTAGTACTTTGCCTTACGTTGACCGTGGTCCGTGCAGCCAACGAGATCTCTCCTTGTGTGAGCGGAGTAAGTGCAGCAGCTAATTCTTTGCTTGGCTCTGGACGATCTAACAAACTTTGTTCTTTCCAGACTTGGGCTAGCACCTGTCCAGCTAGTCCTGCGCCCTATCTGATCAACATGAACTTGGAGCTCCGCAATTTCGTAGTGGCCGCCCACAATGCCCGTCGCAATCGTCTGGCGCTGGGTCAGTTGCCTGGCTATCAGTCGGCACGTCGCATGGCTTTCGTGCGCTGGGACGCTGACCTGGCCAGCCGCGCCGAGCTGAATGTGAAACAGTGCATTCGAAAGAGGGATACCTGCCACGGTACGGCACGGTTCCCCAATAGTGGCCAGAATATCGCGTACTTTGCTTATGATCCGGCTTTAACGGACCGGACGGATCAGTATCTGCTGAGGCAGGCCATTACCAACTGGTGGTTAGAGTACCAGAATGCCAATATGGGAATCATCAATAGTTTCCCCCCCACCTGGTCTGGAAAGTAAGTGGATCGCAAGAACTAATCAAGCAACATCCATTGGTAAACTCTTTTTCCTTTTTTGTCTGTCCTTCTGCAGATCGATGAGCCGCTTTGCTGTGATGGCTCAGGAGCGCAATCTTGCCGTGGGCTGTGCCGCTTCCCGTTTCGTGAAGAACAACCAGAACCACTTCCTCGTCGCCTGCAACTATGCCGTCAAGAATACTGTCGGCAGTCCTGTGTACGTGACGGGTCCTGCGGGCAGTGGCTGCCAGACAGGCGTCAACATCGACTATCCTGGCCTCTGCAAGTTCGCCGAGAATTACAATATATAAAAATATCCATATGATCCATAAATAAATTTCAGCATTTATTATTATTCTATTATAAGTTATACCAAATGAAATTGGCTCCAATAACACTTAAGCCACGTCAGTCTTCCATTGCATAGAGTAGCTACCTTGTCATGGAAGACAGATTCCAGTCGTCCAGTGTAACCGACTGTTTAATGCCCCTTAAAACCAAATATAAATTACACTTAGAGCCTTACTGCTCTATACTACACTATACGAGCCCTTGTTTACCAGCCTAGGACCCCCGTTCCGTTAGTTATAAACAATGGGCGTTGCTGGGAACAACGCAGGGCAGCAGGGAAAACGAAACGAAACAATCCGGTTGGCATAGTGAAACAGTTAGTTTTGCTTTTCGAATATGAAATTCAATTTAGTCAACTCTCAGCTGGATATAGCACTATATATAGCATATCCAGCTCTGTATACTCACATATTTCCAAAATGGGCGACACCGCCAACAAAACGGATGACATGAAGAGCACCTCGCTCGACGAGTTCAAGCTGGAGGCCATGCGCTCCATGGGGTGGACCGTCGAGGCGGACATACCCATGGCGAATGCCGAGAATCTGGCCATCCTCCAGGAGATGGTGGGCATGCGGGCAGAGAAGTTCAATCTGCAGCAGCGCATCGCAAACCTGGAGGAGCGCGAAAAGACAATCGAACGGCACAAGAAAAATATTGAGGCTACGCTGCAGCAGAATGTTGTAAGTGTTGAAGGCGCGTGATCTGAGTCGGGTTAACGATTAATCCTCAACTGAATCTAATGCCAGAACTTCTTCAATTCGGTGAAGAACGATGTGCTGAAGGAGGCGCATCGCACGCAGCTGGTGATCCTGGAGCGCAACAAGCTCAAGGAGGACTTGCGCAAGAATCAAAAGGAGCTGTCAGAGTACACGGAATACGCGGAGCATACACTGCGTAAGTGGAAGAGATCTGCGGATAACAGGTAACATATATTCTAAATGGAATTACAGGTAAAATTAATAAAAGCAAGCGCGAGATCGATGCTCTGACAAAGCGCATCAAGGCGGCCAAGTCGAGCCTGGTCGAGTGGGCCGAGGCCATGGAGGATGGCAACAAGGGCTACCAGCTGATCGACAAGTACTACCAGGACGATCAGCAGCGGGCAAAGGAGCTGAACACGCGCCGCCAGCTACTGCAGGCGGAGATCGAGAAGCGTCGCAGCGCGGTCGTCATGCTCTACGATGAGCAGAGCACGCTGGAGAAGAATCTGGAGCGCACGGCCAGCTTGTACAGGGAGGCGCATCTGGAGAGACGCCAGATGGTGGAAACATGGAAGCAGGCGGTCAATCAGATGACACAGCGCGAGCAGGATATACAGAACGGCGAGGAGGAGTGCATCAGACTGACGGAACAGGCTCAGGTCATGGCCAATGCATATTTCAGGGCCAACGAGCAGCTGAACGATGTCCTGGAGAATAATCGGCTGGTCGAGCAAAGCATCGAGATATTGAATGCGGAGACATCCGATGCCAAGAATGAGATACAGCGCCTGGTCGATACCTCGACTCTGAAGGAGCGCGAGATCCTAGCGCTGCGCCACGAACTGGAGAATCTGTCCAATCAGGTGCACGCCCAGCGTCTGGAAAATCGCAAGCTGATCAGGCAACGCGATGAGAAGCTTGCCGAGATTGAGAACTTCGCCACGACGCTGAAGAAAATCGAGGATCGCCTGAAGACGATCGAGGACAAGCACACCAATGCCAATCAGCGACTCCAAATCCTGGACGAGATGATGGAGGGCGAAGAGGAGGCGTTCAAGTTGCTCAACAAAGAGCAGCAGCGCTGCAACGAGCTGCTCTACCGCACCCAGCGCCAGATAAACGAGCTGAAGGATGAGGAGACGACGATCATGGTGCAGAATGGAGCCCTGCAGTCCACGCTGCTTGCCGTCACACGTAACCAGCGGCAGGTGGAGGTGGAGATAAAGCGCCAGACGGAAATACACTACGACATGTCCTTCAAGTATTTGCAGTGCGAGCGCAAGCTGGCCGAGCTCCGAGGCAAAAACTCAGACCCGGAGACGGAGGCACGCAACGAGAGGATTCTCGCTGAGCTGGAGCAGTATCTGGCCAAGCTGCAGCGTCGCTTGGCCTCCACGGAGGCGCAAAACAAGAAGCTCAACTACAGCATGAATGCCCTGGTCGGGGTCTATAACAACGATGCCAAGGATCTGGAGCTGGTCAAGTTCAAGATCAAGGAGGCGCAGGTCTACTGCGAGGGCACCATCAAGCGGCTGCGCATGAATCGCTACGAAAACTCCGAGTTCGTGGTGGAGCTGAGTGTGCTCAAGATGCGCTGCTGCGACCTCCAGAATGTGATCGATAACTGCGAGAAGGGCACCTACAGCCTGAATCAGCATCGGCTGGCCTTCCAGCGCATCATCAAGGATCGCTTTGTGGAGCTGCAGAGTCAGCGCGATATTTTGCTACTGAAGCGAAAGCATCTCAACGAGGAGCTGAGCACACTTCGCGCCGATCTTGGAGAGCGCAAGAAGCATATCAACGTGCTGCGTGCCCGCTTCGAGCTGACATCGGCGCTGCTGGGCGTCAACGAGGATGGCACCATAATCACGGCCACCCAGCTGAAGGTCGAAAATGCCCAGGAGCGACAGCTGCTCGCCGACGAGGGAGACGAACTCAACAAAAAGGTGCTCAAGGCGGAGAAGGAGGTGATTGCCCTGGAGAACACGCTGCGCCAATTCGACAAGTCCAACGACAACTACCGCAAGAATCTGAAAACCTTCGATGATAACTCAAAAGGTTTGTCCTTCCATTCCACCTGAAAATGGAATGGATCTATCGATCCCATTCCATAGCAACTTCTCTGAAGTAAATTTTTGCTTATTTGATTTGCCTTCTTTGCAGACGAACAGCGCGCTGAGGAGGAGCTGAGGAAGGTGCAGGAGACCTATTGCAAGCAGCTGGAGCAGCTGAAGGTGCTGCGCTGCAAGGCCGAGGCATACGACAGTAAAATTGAGCGACAGCAACAGGAAATCGAGAAGCTAATGGATGAAATCGAAACGGAAAAACAAAAGTGCCTAGACGATGCGGAAGCGTTGCGCAAGCTAAAGAGAGAGCTGCACGATCAAAAGGCGAAAATTGAGCGGGCCAACCGCGAGATACAATCGCTGCTCAAGGAAATCAAGCAGCAGGCCATAAGCGACGAATTTCTGTCGCTATTCGAGCGCGACCTCAATCTGCAGGAGCTGGAGACTCGGAACAGAAAGGTATTAAATCTATTGTGTGACATGACCAATACCGATCCGGATGGGGCCAACATCATAGCCTATATGCTGGACAAAGGAATCAAGCTCCCACAGCACTTGAAGCCCGTGCGCAGTTGTGTGTTCTCCAGGACATCGTCATACTCCTCGGTGGATTGCTACTCCGTCAAAGGTGGGTAGCACATTGAACATGAGACCTTAGAGAGACTACTGTACTTTCCCCACAGGTTATAGCGCACGTTCCTCCACCTCCGAGGCGAGCCTGGGCAAGGAGGAGCCCAGCTCGGCGAAGCTAAGTGTCGTCTCCCTGGACTTTCCGCCTAAAAAGAAAAAGTGATGCTCCACAAATTTCTCAATTTTCTTCCAGATTTACTATTACTAGTTCCCCACTCTCCGCACGTGCTTTGGCCAATGAACTGTTTACAAATCGGACAGCCAAAGAGAAACACGAATAAACGGCACAGCGAATGAGAAAACACGAAGAGATACAAAAATAGAGCACAACAAAGCACTGACCAAATATCAACAAGAATCAAGAGAGCAGCACAAATATGCATTACTATATATACATATATATAGTATATAGGTATACTTGTTTATAAATAGAGTTTGATTTCACACAGCTACCAAATACCCTTGACTGAGAGCTTTTGCGCACAAGCTGGCTACGAGAATACTCTTAGCTCGACTATAAACCTTATAAACCAGGATGCTCGGTTCAAAGAATATTTCATTGGCTGTATTAGCTAATATAATTGAACCCATTAAATGTTCAACAAGCAAGCAAACATATATGTCGTTTTCCTGAATTTTAAAAATACTGTGTGGAAAATTGTAATAGTATAGAAAGCGCTTTTTAGTTTTCTAGGCACATTATATGAAGGTCTAAAGATAGATTCGACTAATAAATGGGAAATGGGAAAGTTTAAGACACCAACGAATATTACCCAAAAATACTTCCATATTTAATTATATTTTAAACTGAACTTAATGAGCATTAAAGGCAGCTCTATAGCTGTTGCAAATCAGACCTATAGGGCATACATATGGATGTATGTTATTAATTAGTATTTATGCCATTTTCAAGTCTACCCTTTAATAATTTAACTTATTTGGCTATGACCCATTTAAACTGTTCAATTTTCTTTTCAAATATGCATATAGTACATATGTATATATCTGTACAATCTGTAGACTATGCCCAGCAGCTGCCCCAATGCGATTCATTTAAATGACAAGATCAAAACAAAGAGCCAAGAGCTCTATACTACTAAATACGCCCACTGGCTGACGAGTCGTTCGCTGTTACCAAAAAACAGCTCGAAGAGGAAGCAGCGGACAGCTGTCTGCGGGCCACCTTTCGGAGCTGTTCGGCTCGCAGTTTTCGAAAACTTTTCAATTCTCGCCGGCCTGGGAGCGCAATAATTTTCATTATTTTCGATATCGCCCAGACGAACGTCGTCGTCGTCGCCATCGGCACAAAATTTTTCTTTCAATATTTGTTCGTTGCAAGTATTTTTAGAAAATATCTCAATAGGCAAAAGCAGAAAATAATCTTTTCAAGTTTTTGTCGGTCAGCGCAATGGTCGAGGATTTGTTTGCATATTGAAAAGAGATCCCTAGTTTCCAATTGTGTGAAAAGTGTTTCAGGCATGTGCTCCATGTCCGTGTTGTGTCCACTGTGCGCGGTGCCGAGTTTCAGTAGCATCGACGCGCTGCAGCAGCGCCTAATCAAGGCGGCCAATGGCCCTCTGGCCTGCCCCTTTCCCAACTGCAAGGAGCTCTTTCTGGGTCTGGACAAGCTGACCATACATCTATTTAGTCACACGAGCCTGATGAGCGAGTCGGAGGCAGACCCAGCTCCAGCTCCAGTTTCAGTTGTAGTGCCTCCAACCGTTCAGTCCACTCCAGTGACAGCAGAGTCAGCTTCAGCTGTGTTCCCTACCATTAATTCCCCTGCTGCAGCTAGTCCGCCTCTTGCTGCTGCCGTTCCTAAGCGACGTGGCAAAAAGTCGCGTGCCAAGCCCATCGAGCTGCCGCTCCCGCAGCCCTCTACGCCTCCTGCCAGATGTGACATTTGCGAGTTTAATTTCCGCAACGAGGAACTGCGAGACATTCACTTCCGGTTGGTGCATGAGAATGCGGAGATAACAGAGCCGACGCTGGGTCAGCAGCAGGAGCCCTACAAGTGTCATCTGTGCTCCAAAACCTTCCGTATGAAGGGTTCCTTGCGTGTGCATCTCAAGGTGTTGCACACGGTCGGCGCCATCGCGACTGCCGCCAGCAGCAGTCCGACCAACAACAACAGCAACAACAACAACAACAGCAACAGCAATCAGAACAACAATGCGAGCAGTAGCAATGGCCACATCATTAGTGCCTCGCCCAAAATCGGCATTTGCGATCGCATTCGGCACAAGGAGGCGTCATCCACCAATGGCAGCAGCGCTACCAACGCGAACACCAACACCCAGCCGTATGCTCTGAGTGGCGCCATCTACATGCTCAAGCAGGAGCTGCCCGCTGCAGGGGAGACGGCGCCCGGTTCGGAGTACGGCAGCACGCCCAAGAACTGGGAGTGCGATGTGTGCACCAAAATGTTCACCACCAAGTATTTCCTGAAGAAGCACAAGCGTCTGCACACGGGCGAGATGCCCTACACCTGCCAGTACTGCGCCAGAACCTTCACCTTCCAGCAATCCTATCACAAGCATTTACTCTACCACAGCGAGGTGAAGCCGCACGCCTGCGGCATCTGTGGGCGCGCCTTCAAGGAGCTGTCAACGCTGCACAACCATCAGCGCATCCACAGCGGAGAGAAGCCCTTCAAGTGCGAGGTCTGCGGTACGTTAAGCCAAGATTTACGAATCACTGTATATACTTTCTATATACAATTCATATACTTATGTATATGGAATCTAGTATATACCCATTTCTATGGGTAAAGCGCTTATTCAATGTGCTCATTCGATCTTAAGCAGATCGACCTGAGCAGGTTTCGACTACTTACTCTGAATATGATTCCAAAACTCTAGGCTATTTAATAGTTAACAATGCACTAGCTCATGCTAAACTATTTCACACAGGTAAATGCTTTCGGCAACGTGTCTCCTTCCTGGTGCACACACGCATCCACACGGGAGTCATGCCCTACAAGTGCGAGCTGTGCAAGAAGACGTTTCGCTATAAGGTCTCGCTGCGAACACACAAATGTGAGCCGCAGACTCCGGAGCAGCTGATCAAGGCGCTGCTGGACTCCAATGTGAGTGCGGACAGTGTGCAGGCCGAGCACACAGCCAGCAATGCGGCCATTCATATGAATGGCACCATCGATCAGGAGGCGTTGCTCTCGCAAACGATTGATGACATTGTCGTGGAGAGCTGCCAGAAGCTGGGCATTTGCAGTGTGGAGCCGCCGCAGCAACCACAGCCGGTTGTTATGGACAGTGGCGTGCAGTTTGATGGCAGCGGCTCCCCGCTGCAGCAGCTGCAGAATTTGCGGCTCTACTCGCCGCAGCAAACAGAGCAGCCTAGCTCGGACGGTGAACTCTTCCGTAACTTCCTCATGGACGCCACGTAATTGTGTTCCGATTTCRTTTGTTTGTTTATTTTTGTGTATTCTTCGTAAATTACATGCAGAAAAAGATTCTGTTCTGTTTTATTCCTCCTCGGAACCGCTACCTGAGCTGGAGCCCGAGCCACTTGGCGAGCCGCTGCGCGAACGGCTTGGCGAGCGGGAGCCTGATCCAGAACGTGATCCTGATGCACTGCGACTGCGACTACGACTGCGCGACTTTGATTTGGATTTCGACTTTGATTTGGATCGACTGTGACTACGACTGCGACTGCGACTGCCGGACTTTTGGGAGCCGGCTGGTGTCTGGGAGCGTGAACGTGAGCCGCTTGGTGATCGTGATCCTGATTTGGAGCGACTACTGGCACGTGAGCCAGAGCCGCTCACTGAGCTCGAGCGACTGCGACTGCGCGAGCCGCTGGCTGCGCTGCCACTGCCACTGCCGCTACCAGCGCTGCGGCTACGCGTGCGAGAACGACTGCCGCCAGAGCGAGTTCTGGAGCGCGATTGCCGTTCTCGTTGCTCTTGTGCATCCGGCACAGGTGTACGGTTGCCAGCAGCTGCCACTTCGTCAGGAGGAGTCTTTGATTTGGCATCAGTGTCTGCTGCTGCCTTTTCCTGCTCAGCTGCAGGCTGGGTTGCGGATTGTTCTTCTGTTTCCATTTCATCGTCTTCCTCCTCCTCCTCCTCTTCTCCAGGAACCTCCAGCTGGCGCTCACGATAGCGTTGCATACGATGCTCCATGGCATCCAGCGGTCGATGCTTAACCACCTATCATGTTCAACAGACACCCCAAAAAGTGATTACTAAAGAATTCATAGATTTGCTAAAAATACTCACCAATTTCGTATTGTTCGGTTGCTGGCCAACCTTGACGCGACGCTTGTTGAGACGCACACGTGTCTCCAACTCGTTGTAGTAGATGCCATCCTGCCGCATGACAAAGAAGTAGTTTTCTTCATAGCCCTTGGATGCCTTCGTTTTCACATTCCAATTGTATTCACGAGCAATCTTATATTCATACTCCTCATCGTCCTTATAGAGTTGCCCGGCCACAAAATCTGCGCGACGCTTTTCCAACGTTGTCTCAGTGGGCAGAAAGTAGGCAACAAACTGTTCTCCGCTCTCGTCCATCACACCGCGAATCATGGCCTGCGACATCTCCTCCAGCTGGGCGGGCACATTTTTGCCCTGTGGTGCTGGATCGCTGTCGAAAATGACTTGAGCACATGGATACTTCCAATTGATAAAGTCGGGGAATATAGGTAACACCTCAACCGGCACCACATTCGGCTTGGAGTAGTGCTTGGTAATTTCATTCTTAGTATCACTGAACGTCTTCTCAATGGCCTTGATTTGTGCATCCCGATCCAAATAAAGGGTCTCTTCGCGCAGAGACTTTTTCACATTGTAGCCCACCTTGGCTTCAATATTCTCCAGATTTTGTGGCTGGAAGCGCGTTTGCTCAGTCGAGATATACTCGGATTTACGCAACCAGGACACAGTGCGTGAGTGCTGTCGCGACCGTACTGAATCTGTCGGCGTCAATGTCTCCTCCTCTAGCAGTTTTTCATCTGCCGGATCCAATTGTGACATGGGATCGGCCTGGTACAGCTCCCGATTGATAAGATCTACCGTCACCCCCAGGTCGTGTTCAGTCAGTACATCGTATTTGAAATTACGCTCCAACGAAGTTGGATTATACTGCACAAAACGGTTGCTATCGAAGGGATATTGCAGGAATTTCAGATCGAAGGGTATATCCGGTAGATTATTGCCATATTTAACGCGGCAAATTATTTCGGATCTAAGCGTAGTAAACAGGTTAGATATGCGCGTTGGCAAAAATACAATATTATTAGAGTACTTACTTGCGTTCTGTTTGCCGTTGTGGTCGCTTTTCGGTGGCGCTATTGACAGCTGAATTGTTTATAGTCGGCGCCATTTCTAAACTTTTACTAAGTAGAATAAAACTAATAAATTTGATACATTTATAGATAACTTAGACGCGAATAATTAAAGTGTGACCGTAACTTATAGTGCAACAGTAGTGCATTTATGATTTGTTCGTGGCGGCAGGTCGATAACTTTTACTGCATGTCAGGAAGCTTACTGCTATGGCATTTAAATTTAAATTTGATGTGCTTTCCTACAAATGCAAGTATAATGAAATTAATTAGTTTTGGTACATTTGAAGACATTACTAGCTCAAGTCTTTGTGTATAACATAGATATATATTCTAATAGTAAGCGAATCTAATAGAAATGATGCGATGTAAGATAAACAGCTAAGCCTCATTTGATGTTAAACGTTGAATATGGCTAGAGGTCGATTATATATTGTTTACTTTATCAGCCTTTTTGTGGTTACGTTTCAAGCCCATATTCGTTGCAAGCCCCCACGCCGACCATTGAGCGTGGACGAAATTCCGCCAATAATTAACGCCATAAATGATGTAGCGGGAGTTACCAAACATCTCAGAGAAAGTGATATCAATGAATTAACTGATCCCACTGAAGAAACTGTTCTGACTGAAACAACTGAGCTCACTAACACAACTGATACCAATGAAACAACTGATCTCAATATAATAACTGATATCATTGAAACAACTGAAAGCACAACGCGTAAGCCTCGCAGGTTACGCAAGAGGATACCAAAGCAAAAAACCTTCTTAAGGAATCCCAACTATATCTGTAAGCCTATATCTTCATTGCCCTATAATCAATTAACTACAAAATTTCGTTTTCAGCTATTAACAAGAAGTTGGAAAAGCTAGCAAAAAGTATGTACATTTTGGAATTGCCTTTACCGGCGCCGGGTGCCAAGGGAGGCAGTTCTCGAGGCTGCAACCATTTTGAGATCATACAAGATTAGTAAAGATCTCAACGTAGCGGGTGACAAACTAGATGAAGTCACGAAATTTCTATCGAGTTGGCACTAAAACAAAACTAAGGCAAATAAAATGGTTTCCACACAATAAACTAAACAATGTCTAGATATGTACATATTCATTTCTGAAGCGCAGATGGGACTTAAAAGATTTATTAATTCAATTGCTAATCAATTCCTTTGTGATATGAAAATAAATAAATAAATCCCTGATAAGTTTTTATAACATAAGTCCACTGATGAATTACAAATTTAGTGTATACTGCTAAAATATTCGAAACAGTAATCGGAAATGTATTTAGGGTATCTTCTAGTCGAGCACGATATTTTATTTTCTGTCAGACTTTTAGCAAGTTTTGTTCAATGTGATAACAATTGCGTTGACTAAATATAATTTATATGCAAATACATATACATACATATGAATGTACACATATTATAATCATAATTATAATTCCTCGAATCGATCAATATATCGATATGAACGTTATCCATTTTGACTGACACACATGCAAAAAATGATATGCGAATTGCAAAGTTAAATAAACACAATCAAATTAATGAAATTAGCGACATAAAAAATGTTTTTTATTTATTTTTTTTCTTTGGTAAAATATTGTCACCTGTCGTGCTGCTTCTGCTGCTGTTGTTGTTGTTGATGATGATGTTGTCGCATTTAATAGGCCTCACTTAGTTGGAAGCTGCGAAAAAACAGCGTAAGCAAATCTCATATAAGCAAAAAACAGTCTACAGCGAGTTCAATAACAAGGTTAAACGCACGAAATCAATTCTTCCCTTACTCTTCCCTTAACTCTCCAATATTTTCAGAATTTCCATTTGTCGCCTTTGTTTTCGCTTAACGTCTGTTGTTGGCAAAATGAAATCGTCACAATTAATTAGCATAAGTTTGACAGCGCTGTGGGTATTTGTTAAGTTATGAAAAACATCTCAAAAATGCTCGAGCTCATTTATAAGCCTATCAATATATATAGCTCATTTTTAAAGCTCTACAAAATCTAGGCAAAGCAGACCAAAGATTTGATGTCCTTTTTCTAATACCTTGAAATTGATAACGAGAAAAAATAGCGATTTTTAAAGGTTTTGTTAAAATTTATGTAACAGCCACATGAAGGCCTTGTAAAGCATATGTACATATAATCGTGATCAAAATTACAAGTTGCAAATACATGCATTATAATAATCAGTTGGCATTTTTTTCTAAAATGACAAATATTCAGTCGAATATGTTGATCTTAGACTATAAATTTGATTGAAATCTCTTACGTAACAGAGAAGTTATTAAGGAAAACGTTTAGCCAATTAGGCTGGAAAGCAAAAGAAAGTTTAGGCCGGTTATTGGAGATAAAATCCCGTTGGCTAGTATTACCCATTTAGTTTTTTTTTATATATATATTTACTTAGCAGGGCTTTAATTAGATTAGCTCACTTTTTAACAAAAATTAGATAAGATGAAATAATTTAAAACAGCTCAATTTTTCCATTATATTCGCACATATTTTCATTCGCTCTCTAATTAAATCATAAACATTATAATCAATATATTTGCTATTAATTGATCGGCACTGGAAGCAATAGACAAATTAGCAAAATATAAAAACTTCAGTAAAATTATTAGAAGAAACTTAGGCGTGAATTAATAGAGACATATAAAGGTTTTATGATCCACATTTAAAGGCAGAATGAGATACCACTTTGCGATATATTTTTTAAGGATCTGATTAAACTCGACTTAAGAACAGAAATTCGTGCTAAATGCTGCACGCCAGGTGCTCGTGCCTAATGAACGTGACACAATCCGTTATATTTTTTGGCCAAAAACGAGTTTAAACTTAATTTGTAATTAGTTATTAAATGTTAATTAAATGCATCATTTGATTATTTTTATACTCTACAGTTATTATAAATGGAAATTCAGGGTAAAAAGTTTTTTTTTTAAATATGTATAGTTGCATGTGGTTGCATGGTTTTTCCTTATATTGAAGGTAACTTGAAAATATAGACAATATGTAAAAAAGTTTGCACTATTTTTAATTGCCCTATATACAATAAAATGTGAAGATCGTGTGCGGAAATCTTAGTTACTAAAGCACATGGACATTTAGCAACAACAACGCCCCATGGTTGTGAATAAAGAGAAAATAAATAGATAAATCAG